ATGATTTTATTGTATATAGATATAAAAATAAAAATCAAAAAATATTTTTAAATTATAAATTAAAACCTGATTTTTGAAATATTAAACTTGTGATTGGATTTTTTAAATTGGAAATCTAATTCCAGGTGTGGGTGTAATTTCCTCATTAGAGATATGAGCCCATTTTGTTACATTTTTCATTAGGGAAAAATATGAGAACAATACATAATTATAAAAATTTCAAGATACATTTTCAAAATAAGAAACTTGTAAAAATGTTTCAAAAATCAGGCGATCACACTTGCTAACAATTTTTGTTTAATTAAACAGGTCAATATTACAATAACACACAATTTTATGGTCACGATCACAAATTGCATAAAATCATTGTCACAGAGACATAAATTGTAAGTCATAATTATAAATTTGATTGCAATGACACTTTTTTTTTATCACATATTGTTTATTGGTAACATATTACCCATTTTATCGATCACAAATTATCCATGTTATTGGTCAAAATTTTCTAAGTGATTGGTCCCAAACGCTCTTCATCCCATTCCACTCCACCACCACCCTAACGCCGTGCCAGCTTACTACCACCGCCACTTGCACCAACAATCACCATTTGCAAACTGACCCCTAATTTGAAATTGCAAGAAGGGGTCTGTAGTTTCACAAATTACACTGAGGCCCCAGCTCCCAATTCCTCACCCAAAGCCTAAATTTTCTTCTCTTATTTTTCCTTCAACGCGACAGTTGGTGACACGCGATGAGCTATCTTAGGGTGCACCACAGATCGCAGCAACATCTGATTTGTTTGAATATAATATATGCCAAATCAAATTTAGAAAATAAAGTATGTACAGATTTGAATATTAGAAAACAAAAATTGAGAGGGTACATAAAATTGATACAAACAGGGCATTCAAGAAGTTCATGGACATTAGTGGCTGGATTAATCATCGTTCTGGGTCGCCAGTTAGAATGTAGATTTCATTATTGTGGAAAAGCTTAAAATAATTGAATTAATGCTATTAATTAAATTAAAATAATAAATTTTTAATTTCTATAAATGGTTCTTAAGGCTGTCGTTTGAGCTCCTTAAATAACATCCATTTTTTAATTTCATTTTGAATTAATGCTATTAATCAAATTAAAAGATTTGTTTTTTTTTTTAATCTCCAAAGGGAAATTTAAGACCATCACTTGAGTTCCTTAAACAACACCCATTTTTCAATTTCATGTTGAATAAATTAAATTAATTTAATAAAAATTAATGTAAAATTAAAAAGATTAATTTAGGGAATTAT